ATGCTGACTCAGCATCCATACAATGAGGTAGCCCACTCTAAACCAACAGAACAAGCACTCACGTTGAGTAGCTGGGTTAGACTCCGGCTTTGTTGGTGTTTGCGCATCACCTGCTTGGATGGAGTTATTAGGATTTTCGCTGCCCTCCATGCCACTGGGGCTAACTTAACTGCATACTGTACATTCAGAAAGGTAATGGAAAATATCTGACTGGAATAAGGTATAGTGAAATGGGCTGAGGATGTGTTTAATTGATTGCTCTACCAAGTACAGTTTTGTAAGATGTCAGGCTTTTTAAAACTAGTGATGTGGCTACTTTGTCAGGACCAGGCTGATGATTTACCCTCTGGAGCTTTCGCTGTGGTTGTAGTATTAGGTTCATCTTTTGACCATTATGTCAGAGAACTGACATAATGGTCCAATCTGGACATTTCTGTCTCTACTCTTTATTTTCTAACCAGCCACATTTTGAGACAGTTGTCAGAACTGATCCTGGTCAAGAATGAGGCTCTTCATGCCATCAACAATCCTAAAAAGTGGATGCAGCCACAGCATGTGGAAAGAAACCTGGTGAGAATATTTTTTATATTGCCCTTTTTCCAAAAACAAACTATTATTATTGGTATTATTTGTGATTTACATAAACTATTTGAAAAGAACAGTCTGTCTTACAAAGACATTTATTGTACCAAAGCAGGTTAAAACTGCTTTGCCCTTTTGGTAAGAATAAAGTGGGCTGATTTCATTTAATCCTTTGCAACCAAATTTCACTAACCTAATCGTTGGCTGGTATGATTGGTTCAGTCCACCACACTGGATGAGTGTCTGGTGGTCAGGGTGGTGTTTATCATGGCGACCTGGTGTAGTCCTGTCCAAATGTGTCTGGTGCCGCTGGTAGGGGTCATTGCAGCAGGTGCAGACACTCAAAACACATTTATTTAGCCAACCTGTAGCATGAATTTGCCCTCACAGGATTACTCATGATATTTTATTAATTTATGTAGGAAACTGCAATCATCAGCCCCTCTGAGTGCACCGCTCACACTGCAGAGCTTCTCCATCATCTCATTCCTTTTTATTTGAACAATGTGAGTAGTTAAAACTTTGCAGGAGGGGTGGATTGCTCTAATAAATTTTTGCAAGTTATAGTAGAGCTTGGGTGTTTCAGTGCCTCAGAAAACAAGTTTTTTTCTTACTGATCCAATAATGAGTCTTCAGGAAATGTTTGATAGATAATCTAAAGTATTAAATAGCCTTGAACTTTTATTCCCACATCACATGGGGTCAGATACATGGGTAAATGTCAGTTTTGTTGGCTGCAGTCAGCGTGTCATGGACTCGTGAATAACTCTTAAGCCATTATGGTCAATGAGCTTTCAAGGGGAGCATACATTCAGTTTTTACTCTATATGACTTGAGACTTCATGAAGCTTAGATGTGATCAAATCTGGGTGTAATTTCCACCTTTTGTCATCCTAGACTGAAAGGTTGACTCACGAATTATGAATTTACAGTTGCAATGTGATACTCCAGTTAAAATGTAAGGATATGATCTAAAATTATTCTTTTCCTCAAGGAGTGCTTCCATGTAGTTATTTTAGGTGTAAGTGACTTGCCTGAAGCTGTGGAACTCAAGTTTGATCATGTCTTCTTTTACAGGTAAATATAAAATCATTTTCATAATTTATGTAAGTGTATATGTTGAGTTACAGTATTCCTAATCTATTAAGGATGGCTATATCAATCCCTAGGAAACAGAGAGGAAGGAAACAGAATTGCTTAGGCTGCAGTGTACACTTTCACACCTGTCACTCTGATTTTGGGAAGCAAAAACCCATGCTATGTAGATCAACTTTGTGACATTGCCACTGCTGCACGGTGCATTGCTTGGGCTCGTTTCCACAATGCAGGACAAAGCTTGGTAGCTCCAGACTACATCTTGTGCCACACAGATGTCAAGGTACAGTTGGTGCAGGCCCTAAGATGCTGTCTGATGCAATTCTATGGTTCTGATCCCCGGGAGTCCCACAGCTTTGGCCGCATGGTCAATTTGGAGATCTTTAACCACACAAGAGACATTTTGTGGAGATCTGGCAAAGTGGCTGTGGGTGGACAAGTGATAGAGGCAGAGAAATATATTGGTAAGAATACTCAGCAGGATTCTGTACAACAAAGTCAACATACAGGATGCTGACTTTGTTGTATGCAATGTATTTAATTGTTTTACCCTTACCCTGATATTTCTTTTTTTTCTGTCTGAAGCTCCAACAATTTTGATGGAAGTGGTGGAATCAGATCTCATCATGCAACAGGACATTTTTGGCCCAGTTCTTCCTCTTCTGACTGTAAACAATATGGATGAGGCAATTTCCTTCATTAATAAGCAAGACAAACCTCTCTGTGTGTATGCATATTCCAGCAACAGCAAGGTATGATTTAACTTTAAGACTATTGATTGTATAAGCCTGCTGATGTTGATGTGTATGTGATCTTGACAATGCAGGTCATCTCAAGACTAATGAGTGAGACCTCTAGTGGAAGCTTTTGCTCCAATGACAGCATCCTGCAGAGTCTGATGGTGGCTCTGCCTTTTGGTGGTGTGGGTGAGTCTGTAGTATCAGACCATGAACAGTGATGGGATAATATTGCCAGCTCTCTATTCACTCTCCCAACATTTTTTGACAGGTGCCAGTGGAATGGGTTCCTACCATGGCCACTACAGCTTTGATACCTTCTCTCACAGGAAATCATGCCTGCTAAGAGTCATGCGGTTTGAGTGTGTCACCTATTTGCGCTATCCACCCTATGAGGACCGTAATTTGTCTCTGATGACCTGGGCCAGTACCCTGTCCCAGAAGAACCGGAGCTGGTGCCAGATCCTGTGACTTGGTTGGATAGTGGAGCCATATTGTCCCCTTGGTCGTGAACAGTCCTGATATGCAGACATATTATTACTGAATTGAAAAATAGATGAGAGCAAAATCCACTGGGTACAGGCACATCAGAGGATACCCAGAGTAGCAGTTTTATCTTAGTGTGGTATGACAACCGTGGAACCAATAAGAATGAGGGTTAGTCTCAAGTATTTGTTTCTCTTGAGAACTACCCTAACTGTACCCCAACAGCTCAACTGTATGTACACATCTGATGAAACATTACCTGTGCAAAACTAAGTTGTAGGATACCAGTATTTTATTATTAGTTTACCTGTCCTCACATTAAGCTAAGAAAAAGGTTGCATCAAAAATAGTTTGACTTTATTCATGTTTATTAATATATTACAGTGACAGTCATCCCAAAAACAAATTCAGCATATGTGTTAATCATCATGTTGTAATCTGGTCATTCGGGTCTTTTGTAGATTTTCTCCTCATTGCCTTCTTTCATAGCTGCGTATCTGGCCACAGTGAACAGGTAGTCGCTCAATCTGAGTGAAAATGTTAGGACATTTATCAGATGTGTGATAGAGGAACCATGTTCTCATTCATTTTAAAGCACTGGACTGACCTGTTCAAAAACTTGGCAACATCTGGATCTGCCTCCCCTGAGCGCACAATCGGAGCAACACTGTAACATAAAAAGAAGTACTTGTACCACTGAAACAAGACACATAGATTTAAGTCATGCAAGATAATGTTAACAACCCCAGAGCATGCTGAAACCGACCTGCGCTCTGCTCTCCGACAGACTGCCCGAGCCAAGTGTAAAGCTGTGCTGCTCTTCCCTCCAGACTGTGAAACACAAAGTAAAACTGTTAGTGCAACAGGAAAACTCAGAATTCCATGTTTATAGGTGCACAATGGTCTTACAGGCAAAATGAAGTTAGTCAGTGGAGGGAGTTCTTCTGTCAAGTTATCAATCCAGGTTTCAAGGTCTGCAACTGCCTGAGCTGTAAACTGTGTTCTCTCTTGCAAAAACAGAACAGAAAAAAGTGAAATAGCACACTAGACAAAATAATTTTAATGTATTAGTCCAGCCGACATGTGCACACTTATGTGGCTTTCTCTTGCAGATGATCGAGGCGTAGCAATACTGGAGCCCACATCTTGTAAAATGCACTGTATCTACAATGAAAATAGCAAAATACAGTCAGGAATCTTATCTGTGGTTAATGTAAATGTCCACACAGAAGGATGTGAATAAATAACATTTGAAAATCAAACCTTGTCCAGCTGATATCTGAATGTGTGACCTTTGTCCAGGCAAAATTCTCTAGCCAAGCTGTAATGGTCAATTTAACATGGTTACTTCTGGTGAGGCAGATTATATAAGTATTAAAACGAACTGTGGCATTTTAATAGTTGAATTCATACCCTATAGCGGATGATAGCTCATCTGTATTTCCCAAGGCTTCAAAAATATGATCTTCCTTTGGCCTTCTTTCTCCTGTAAATGTGCTTGAGAAACCTTTTAGTAGATAGAACAAGAATCAAGTCAACTTTTGTAAGAACTATTTATTGTAATGTAGCCTACTGTTTTCCTAGTAAGGTTGAAAAACAACCTTTGTCTCCAGTTTTGGTGTATATTTTGGGTACCCTGTTGTCTCCTTCAGTGGCAAAGCTGAAAAGGAAGACAAGAAGATAAAGGAGAGGGACTTGGATAAAATTGACAGAGGCCATAATCTGTTTAATAAATACCAACAACTAACACATGTAGATATTAAAATGTTTTAAGGTTCAGTTTCAAACAATACTCTAGCCCAATCTAAAGAATCACGCTATTGTGTTTAAAATGTCTTTATTAGAGCATCCCTATGTAGCAGCAACCTAGTCGGCACTTTTGTATACACAATCTTACGTCACATGTAACGTTATTTTGAAAAAGAACAGGGATGTACAACTACCTTCTGACTGAACACAATGATTTCCTTGTCCAGTGCTCATTTATGAGCTTGCCTGTCCTTAAAACACAGCGAAGGTATGCAGGATTTATACAAAATGAACACGTCATAATGCTAGTGTTAGCCACTATGAAATAATGGTGCAGGTATGCCGTTTGTCCCTTCATGGTGTCCGTAGTTTGTGGGCGTTTCATTTTCAGCGCGTGATTGATCAACTCACCGAATTGTAGAAGAGCGTTAGATGCTGATTGGACAGAGGAATATATGTTCTACTACCTGCGACGCTGATTGGATAGGAGAAATTAAACCACTATCACCGCTTGTTGGCCAGTTATGTTTTTAAGCACGGTTTAGTCTATAATTTTGCGTCGAAGGCGTCCTGGTTTCACATTTTACCATATTCTGTAGTCATAAAAAAAACGTCATAAAACATATATTATTTGTCGAGCGTTCGGGAACAGCGCTGAACTGTGGTGGCACACGTGTCGACTGTTTGTTGCTGCTTCAGAGGGTTAACATTAGCTAAAGGTGGCTATGATAGCTAACCACAACACTGTCAGCGACGAATTGTACTTGCAGCTATTGCACTGACACGCTCTGACCCATTTTGTGCTCAGTAAACTGTGACAGATATACAAGACATGGACTACATTGTGTCTGCTCCGGGAAAGGCGATCTTGCACGGAGAGCATGCAGTTGTGCACGGAAAGGTAAACGATGAGAATGACAGTGAAGCTAGCAGGAAATGAACATGACTGTAGGACCTACGTTTTGAAGATTTTATCTATCTTACTGAACACAATATTTGTTAAATGTCTGTTGATGCTCTTTGTTTGCTTGTTTTTGCTTTGTTTTGCCAAGATACAGTTTCTTTGCTAAGCTGATTTTCATATTACTTTGCATGGAAAACACTTTAATTAAATAAATAATTTGCCTCGATGTTTTGGAGAAAACTCGAAGTATTAAATGAAACATGCTGCAGTTAACACCCTTAAACCTAACTCAAAAGTTACAACAGCATGGTTTTCTAACAAAGCTTTTATCTTGGTCCTTCACAGGCTGCTCTTGCTGTCAGTTTGAACCTACGAACATATTTACGGTTGAAAGCCTCCACTACTGGCAAAGTTTATCTCAACCTCCCAAATATTGATGCATTCCTTTGCTGGGATCTGGCTGAACTGAAGCAGCTAACTCCTTATACCTGTGGTAAGGGAAGCTGCAGCACTAGGGGTTGTAAAGACTTGCATACATTATCATTTTATTGTGATATTATGCACCCAATAGGTTGGCATTCTGTGTTGAGACATTGCTCCAAAGTCTCAAAAATAATGTCATGATGTGTCAAGATGGATTTATTCTGGAATAAAAGACCATTTCTGGATCAGATTAGTTAACTTTAGAATAATACTTCTTTATGTGCCAATGCAGAAAAAAGCCATGTATTGCCCAGGGAGATGTTTATGGTACCAGTCTTTGGACAGACCACTAAATGATCAAACTCATTTTTGGCCAGATAAAAATCATATGGATGAATGACTACTTTTACAAAGTATTCCTCATATGTATCTTTTTCATGCATCTATAGATCAAACTGTGTGTTGTGATATTTTTAAGTGATTTTTGATTTTATTCTGTGTCCTGTAACTCATGTTAACAGGGAAGAAGAAGGAGGTGAAGCATCTGGATGCTGAACTTGTGAGGAGACTGCGTGAATTTGTTGGTGTGACAAATGAAAACCTGGATACTTGCAACATGGCCACCTTAGCCTTCCTCTACATCTACCTCTCGCTGTTTGGATCAGAGTAGGATAAGATTAAATGCACTCAGCACTTGTTCATTTTAACATTAAGCTAGCTGCCTCAGATGGCCAGAAAAACCATTACACTTGATACAAAAGGCCCTGCAAGCATAATTTATTTCCGGGCATATAGTACTACCAGTTTCAGACCTGTATTATCAGCATAATCTACACCACCTTTGGTGAGAAAGGTATTAGCAGCAATGGTACAAAATACAGATGTAGACATTTTGATGTGCTTCACCTGCAGGCATGAAAAGCAATGTCATCTGCAAATTTGACCTTTTTACCACCTGCAGGCAATGAGTGTTCCAGCTGTATCTATTTATTTATTTTAATATAGCTACAGCTGATGGTCAGCCATCGCCCACTGTGGGGCCATCAGTGAGCATCTGTTGCCATAGTTTTTGTGGGGTGTCTGCACCGCTGGCACAAATCAGACCCTACTGGTGGCTTTTCAGCTGATTGAGCATGTTGAATTGTAGGTGAACTCTGCTGTTGAGAGAGATCCATCTAATTGTCTGTACAGCTTAGCAAATCATTGCAGGAGAAGAGAAAGGTTCAGGAAAGCCCCTGCAGCCTGACGCTGTAGTATCCATGATTTTACCCATTTAGTCCAGTTTTTGCCTCAGCAACCTCCTTTATTCTCCCACAACCAAAAGACCCAAGACTGATAACACAAGTGCCATTTGCAACTTCTTATCAGTCATATTCTCAATTATAAGTAGCTATAAACTGACTGTGGTGAGTGAGAGCTGCTTTGTTTACAGTTTACATATCTGCAGTATTAGGTCTTTCTCTTTTTGAATGACAATACAGACTACTACCACCTGCTGGTATAGAGAGTTATTTCCTCTCATGCAGGCACAGCACTACATACTGTACTAGTGATGTGCAAATGAAGCAATGAACCATTATCGAACCATTTCATCAATTACAGTGGGTACGGAAAGTATTCAGACCCTCTCACTAAGGCTTTTCTCCCCCGATAGCTCAGTTTGGCCGGACGGCCAGCTCTAGGAAGGGTTCTGGTCGTCCCAAACGTCTTCCATTTAAGGATTATGGAGGCCACTGTGCTCTTAGGAACCTTAAGTGCAGCAGAAATTTTTTTGGAACCTTGGCCAGATCTGTGCCTTGCCACAATTCTGGCTCTGAGCTCTTCAGGCAGTTCCTTTGACCTCATGATTCTCATTTGCTCTGACATGCACTGTGAGCTGAAGGGTCTTATATAGACAGGTGTGTGGCTTTCCTAATCACGTCCAATCAGTATAATCAAACACAGCTGGACTCAAATGAAGGTGTAGAACCATCTCAGAGACGATCAGACGAAATGGACAGCACCTAAGTTAAATATAAGAGTGTCACAGCAAAGGGTCTGAATACTTATGACCATATGATATTTCAGTTTTTCTTTTTTAATAAATCTGC